CCTGTGCGATACACGCTGAGGGACTAGAGCAGAATAGAAGCCACCAAGACGACCTAGTGAGACGTGAGACAACGACGTCTTCGTGCATTAAATACGATTCCCTGTGTAACTCGGGCCGAGGTACCCACATTTGTAAGTAAGTAGTACTTATTTAGTCTTCACTTTCGCGATAGAACAATATCTGCACTCACTTAGCGGCAGTCATGATCGAATTCTCATGGGACACACGTAAAACATAGCTTTTCCCCAATATATATTGCGTGGCATACTCTTGGGAGCCGAGAAGCGTGATATGTCATATCCCAGCGCGACCCTTTAAGAGAAGATTAGATCCAATCTAAGTATTCTAAGTGTGTTAACGTTTATTAAGCCAAACACTCAAACAACGTTTTCCCAAATAAAACAACTGCACACGGCGTCACAGGACACGATTTGTGTTCAACGCGGTCATCCACTTCCTCAAGGAATGCCCTTGCAGTACTCTACCCGAGTGAATTGTTTGTGCCAGACAATGATTCTCGAATTTTCCGGATTCTTGGACGATTTCCAAGTGTGAAGATTTTGCATTTTGCCGTCGGCACATATTTGCTCTACATGTCGCACTTTACCAACCGACCGTAATCGGGATTTCTCAGGAGGCCTACAGATAAAGCGTTCTTAATTTTTCCGACCTCTAATAAACTTCTTACCTGAATACACATACAAAGTAATTGAAGTGGTGCTTCATTATAGTTGCCGACATTAAAGGCTTACAGCAGCCGACCATCAAAGTGCCCACTGCACAGCTGTAATTTACAACCGCCAAATCTAGGCACATGTTTAGTTATTATCAAACTGACCGTAATACGTTTCCTGATGATGAGCTCATGGGTGGCCATTAAGTCTGTTCAACCGAAATCTAGAACCAGGCCACTTGAGTGTCATATTGAGCTGTTCATTTTCAAGCCAGGTACGTGAATGGCATCCAGGCACGTACACTGAGACAGCGAAACAAATGTAAACTCGAACCTGGAAGTAGATCGAACTCGTTGCACGCTGGTTGATGGTAGAAGTGTATCCATCTTATAAAAAATCTTGTTGTTAAATTTTTATTTTTTGGTAACATCACAGTAAAAAAGTATGACCGAACCGTTTTGACGACACATAATTTCCGGTTGACACACAGTGGTAATTTGTCACTTTTGGCCGTTGTTTTGGTGTTGCGTATGTGCACTTCTACCATTTGCCAGCGTTCAGAAAACTTACCAGGGCCCCGTCACCGGATCTAAATTCAAAAAATTCTGATCTTTTGCAGAAAGACAAAGGAACATTAGAGAAAACAAAAAAATTAGTTTCATCTGCCATGGTCAATGGGCGTTGCCAAAACACAATTTAACTGTAAATTCTACACCATGCTGCAGTCTATGGGCATTGCACCGCATCATACGTTGTGACTTTACTGAATACCTGTACGAGGACACTTAAAATACAGTACTCGTAACAAATCATCAAAGTATCTGTAAGGAGCAGTGCAAATCTATCTCCACTGGAAAAAGGAGTGTAAACTGTACCATCTCCAGAAACGGTGAACAATGATTACAGTGCATTTTAAACTAAAGATGTTGCATCCAAAGCCGTGTAGCGCAATGTGTGGAGTGTGGATATTGTGGAGCATCATTATGAAGTCCACAGATAAAAATTTGAATAAACTTTTTAATACAGATTTTGACATCCACGGATAAATATCCAGAGCGAGTGTTTAATCAAACTGGGCGTGTACAAAGTGTTTGATAACGTAAAAATGTATTGTACGATGCGGTACATTGCCCATAGACTAAAGCATAGTGAGAAATTTATTGTTAAATTCTGTTCTGGCCACGCCCATTGACCATGGCAGATGAAACTAATTTTCTTTTGTTTATTCCAATGCTCCTTTGGCTTTCTGCAAAATATCAGAATTTTTTGAATTTACATCCGGTGACGGGGCCCTGGTTAGAAAACGAAAACCTAAGAAACCTAAGAATAAAAAATAAGGTAACATTTAGAAAAACATGAAACATTAAGAAAAGTTCGACTGCAACCAGTTTTATAGAAGCCTAAAAGAATGAAAAAAAAAGAAAAAACACCAAGAAAGCGCAGAAGCCCAAGAAACACCCAAAAACCTTAGGACCAGTCCGATATGCAAGCTTCGACAAAATAGTTTCTGAGAACGTGGGGCACAACAATTGCAGAGAAGCGACTTATCGGTCAATTATCTGCCAGTCAGCAGGTTGTGTAAATTAGCAATATGTAGGTCATCAAATTGTCGGGAAGTGAAATGAAGTAAGGGAACTGGATTACTGCCGATAAAGGCAAAAATAGTCAGCATTTGTTTAGCCGTCCTGACCAGAAGCTAGAATATCGCTTAACGCATTTCGATCAGTTCACATCGGCAACGTGCTCTACGATAAAAGAAAAAATTTTGTAAGCTTCCGCCTTGGCGCATAGAAGTATCTGTACTTCCGAGCCACGTAAGTGCAAGAAACCCCAATCGCCTAATCGACGCCCAAAACAAAGTTCGCATAAATAAAATTTTTTATCTTACCATCGGACTTGTTCAGCACCGGCTGTACCTTGACGCGGCGCTGCAGATTACGGTACAAAACTACAGTCGCACAAAATTTCCAACTTTTGAACAGATCAAAATGACGCCGTCTTAGCGCAGCTGCAGAATTGTAAGTTAATGCAGGTAAACATCCCGGCAGTAGTGGCTCACTGTGTGATGTGGCGAAAAAAGCATACCGTAAGACTAATGTGATCCACTGAAAAGCCGAAGAACGCCCCTCATTCTACAACAAATAAATTTGTATATATTAAAATTAAATTGAATAATTCAGTTATGATGTTATGTTAACATCTTGATTGAAATTACGTATTAGCTGCATCATTTGCATACCAGTAAATTAGAACTGTTTCTTGATGTATAGCATCAAGTGATCGGTGAAATTTTAGCAAATTTTGTAGTGATGTTTACATGTCCATGCTTACTACAACCGGCCAAAGATGAAAATATTGACAGTTATCGAAAACACAACACAAGCTTGAACTCAACGCTGATTTTTGTTGTTGGCTTTGACTGCATACGTGAAAACCGTCATGACTCATAGTTGAGATTTTGGGCCAACTGTTGTTTGGAAAGCCGATTACTACTGTATACGAAGATATGAACAGTTGCTTGCAAAAATTCAGCTGGCTAGTGCACTTGTATTATGCTTTTGTGCGTATGTTTATGAAATGAGCATAAGCCGCCTATTTTTTTAGTAAATCGGTGCAATTTCACATCCGCATCGACCTCCTCTTTCGCTGGATCCCTTTTACTGCTTAAAGCGACATAACATTATAACGGTAGTTACCATTTATACATCAAACGCTATCACATTGAACTTAAAATTACTGTCCTGCGTTCAACCACCGTTTGTTATGTAGATAACACGCTGAGACTTACAATACCTAACCAAAATTTACTTGGGTATTAATTGTAACACTGGCACAAGGTCAGCAACCTAACATTTCAAAATAAAAACATCACACAGCATAAACAAGCAGCGGCGGCCGAATTACAGAGAACATTTGATCTCAATAATAGCCGCGGCTGGTGCCGTTTTCAGAATGGATGCCACGTTGTACGACTATTTCGATTCGACTAACAATTGTCAAAAACTTCGAATACCTAATTTTACTGATTGTAAATTCCGGAACATTATTGAATGGGTTGCCAAGACGCTTGGATGTTTACCGGTGCAGCGGCGCTGTACATTATGGATGACCACTTGGTAAGCGTTCAGAGCTGACACACAACATCGATTATTAGTACAAATATTGAAAAATACCGATATTGTGAATTGTGTTAATTATATGCGTTACCGATATTGTGCAGTGTGTCGAATTTAACACGTGTTAAATGTGAAATTGCAGTTACGTATCCGATATGCTGAATTTAGTTCACAGCCAACAGGTGAATATTACTGCTGTTATTTCCATCTCGTTCTAGGATCCCAATAGTGGGCTTGACAGTTGGTGCAAAGACGATCGCGAAGCGCTGAACATGCTACGAGTACAATCGCCACCAAAGAAAGACCGGCAGGCGACAGTCGTAAATATTTATTGTGATCTAATAAGATACAGCCCTACTACACCAAGTTCAAACAGTTTTGTTAAATAAATTAGAAAGCATTTTGACTCGTTTTGTCGTACTTTACAGTGGACTGCGAAAACCTGTTACATTTCGCTCGGCGACCGAATGGTTATTACAAATAAATGGCCAAGACCAAATGACCAATAAACAGGAAACGCGCAAGAATTTGAACACTTGCACCTTGCGCATTTCCCAACGAAAACCATCAGCCGATATCTCAAACGAAAGAGAAAAAAGTTTCACAATTTCGGTAGCAAACACGTCATTTTTTAATCTAAGAAAAAATCGAGCGATTTTTAATTTGTCGTTGACAAAGCATACGATTTGTGTGTTAGAAGTGATTCCAAACCTTGGATTCAAACCCTATGCTATGTCTACGAGAGATTTTAGGTGCGTCGATTTTCGGTAAAGTCCTAGTTGTGGTCTTGTGGAACAGTACAGGGGGAAAATCAAACAAATTCGGTTAAGTCCGGAGACGGTCAAATTAAGTACCCGGCATCCGGCGGCATTCAGTACCCGGCGGGCTTGTGGGGGGGGGAGGGGGGAGGCAACCGGCTTTGCGGCATCCGGCGATTAGCACGGAGAGGGGCGCTTCCCGGCAGCCGGCGTGCCGAAATGCCGGATGCAACATAATATGTGCCATAGTGTAAAGGGTATTTTAACTTACAGGTTTACCGGCAATCCGCATTAGCCGAGATGCCGGATTGTTTTTTGAATTAAATCGAGCAGAATGGCGTACACTGTAGGTTTACACTTTATATAAAGTACGTAACTACAGTAGGATCGTTTTTTTTAAGGAACGGACAGTCGGAATCTGAAATCTTTAATTCGAGTTAGGAATGCGATTAGTATATACTAAGAAATAATTTAATTCGTTTGTTGGACTTTTCAGTTACAGTGTAGGACTGAATGTGTATTTCAATATCAGCTGTGTAGCGTTCATTTCCAAAAAAATTCTTTTTTTTGAATAATATTAGGATATTAGGACTGTTAATCATTAATCGAGCATTTTCGATAAGAAAATCTTTGAACTGGTGGATCATGTTTGTGAAGATGACAGCTCTGCAGTTTGCGGACTGGTCGGTACAGTCGAAGGCTATCCGCTCTCCATTAATGAGGTTTCCTTTACCATCATCTTTCGAAAACGGTATTGGTCCTTTTACGTTTGAGATTTGCACTTCGACGACGACACTGAGTACAAAAATTAAGCGTTAAGTATTGTATTAATCAGCATAAAAGTGCGTTGTTATATGCGTAGGTAACGAAATTATAATATTAAATACTTTTTAAGGGAAGGCATAAGTTGGATTAGAAGAAATTCTTTTGGAGGTTTTGTCGGTTCAGATTGGTCGTATTCCAGCAATCTCACCATACTGCTGCAGTTTGTTTTCAATACATCCGGTTGAAATAGAGTGGATGGTGATGTCATTTACGAACAGAATTTTTCTGGAAAATAGTATTTTTTGTAATATGACATAATAGTTTATAATAATGTAATATATTTTATATTTATGTATCGAAAATCTCATTATCAATAGTGATATTTACTCAGATGTAGCGCGGATTAAAACAATATTTGCGAGAGTCGCAGCTGCTGGTAGTTCCAGTTGATCCATTAGATGGGCGTGTGTGTTTGCAACTTGGATTGCTAAAAAATGGAATATTATTTATTAAATAATAAATTACTAAATATCCTTGAAATTAAAAAATAATAACGAATTGGGCAGTCTTGAAGACCTGAAGTCATCACTTTGGCGTCCTGGACGGTTAACAGCCAGCTGTCCAAAAGTTTGCGTTTATGTCGGATGATGACGTTGCAGCTGTGGATGTTGTCACCTTGTAGTATGTGCTAAAAAAATAATTAACAAAAACTAAGAAAAGTTATCTCTAATTAGAATTAACGTGCGAATAGACAAGAAAAGTCAGGTTTGAATTTATAGACGTTCTATCTTTACTGCTGACTTTACAGTATTCTATACAGGTACAAATTTATCCTTACAGTAGTCGTATAACTGAAGCTGGCTTTTGCCATACTTTTCTGAGCAGAGCGTTCAAAAAAAATTCAAATTTCAATTTGTCTGGAAACTGAATTCTAATTTGTCTGAAAACTGGAAACTGGAAAATATGGATTTTTTTAAGACTAAGCTCGAGTTAAACTGACCACACGTTTACTAATGCATAAAAACATAATTAATTGTAATAATTTAGCAGTGATTAAGAACGTATTGCATATAAAGTCTTTATTATAAATCTGAAGATTGACCTGAATAAAGGACGTGCTTTTGTCTGGATGGTTTACATTTTGTAAATTGGCATGGCTGTTGTCTGATGGAGCGTTTTGTCCAGGCTCTTCCTCATCTTCTTCCATCTTTTTGTGATGAGGGTCAAGTTCCAAGTTTCTCTGTTGCCGTCTATCATGGAAAATCAGTTTCGGTGTAAAGAAACATGACAGAATTCTTAATATTACTTTGGCATTTATTTATTATTTTAATTAATATCTGGTAATTAATCTCGAAAATTTGATAACGCTTATGTCCGTACCATGTTTTTGGTTTCCAAGGTAATAATTCCATTGTTCAGGTCAGCATATTCTTTTCTTTCGAGTTTAAATGCTGACTATCCACTGAAGCTTGCCTTTTGCTTGCACATTAAGTTATGGCACTTGAATTGAACTGGAGTTGTGCTCCTTTTACAGATTAAATATCCGTGGTTGCTGTGATGTGGCTTCCGTTGAAAGATGCAATAATTGGATTTTAAAAATATAAGCAGAGTTTTGGTTTGTTCATTATAATCAAAACAAATATTTCGGTGCGTAATAAAATCACAATCCCAGCGGAACATAATATTTGAAATAACTGTCCGCAAAAAGCAATCTTCATCCAAATTTTGTTTTGATTTGGTTATTTGGCAGTGATCCCTTACGATATCGGCAAATCTAGTGGTAAAAATTGGAGGCTGTGATGGAAGAAAGATGTTGCATACAAGAGTTTCCTTAAAAAATACTCCTCTGTTTGAAACAGATATGAATCCGATGTTAATGCACTTTTCGAAAAGTACGACAGTCGACCTTTTTTGAGCAACTTAGTTAGCGAAAATTCTGGTTTATGTTGTAAACGTTCATGTCAATACAAGATCCAAAGTTTCCATGTTTGTCACGGTTTTGAAATTCCAGTAAGACAGAAATTGGCTGCATTATGCTTTTAAATTCTCTGTTGTTCTGTCTGATAATGTTTGGCCAAATTAGATGAAAACTTTCTTTCACATCACTGGGATTTTTATTAGCACAAGCCAGTCAAGACAGAGTAATTAGTGTAGTTAAAGAAAACGCATTCCAAGTTAGGAATTACTGCGTATCTTTGGGGGTAAATAGCCACTCACGCACCCCAATGTTAGAAGGCCAGTTTTCCGCAGCGAACATCTTATCAGACTCATGAGCAAATGAACCAACACGAGCAAACAAACTGTTTTTGCCACCTTTTTTAGCAGTGTAAATAGACACAAATCGTACTAAGATCCCATTAGATTCAATGGCATTCTTGAGATCCTTGCTGTAGTCATCAAGTGTCTGGTGTCGGGTCCGATCCACAGGGTGGGATGCCATGTAGACAGAAGTCTTTTTTCTCTTTCTCCTTGTCCGCTTTGCTGGTGCGCTTCTGTAGAGTCGACATCACGATAGTTTTTCCTGCAATCTGAACTGGTGTTCCGCGTACCACGTACAACTTTCTTTTTTTTCGCAACAGTTGCCCAGAAGTCCCGCGTGTCCGGCGACTTGGAAGTAGGGCTGTCAAAACACAGGGGAGCAACGGCACTTTCTTCTGAGGTTGACATTTTGCCTGGGGGGCTGCCAAGGGGAGGGAAGGATTCATTCTCGCTGGCGGGCGTCTTGATGGTCAATCGAAACCCAGAGGGTTGATGAGATAATCGACCACTTTCGACCGTGCCAGAGAGGGATGTTGCTTGGGTATCCGTTTGCATGTTGACTTTGTTACTCAAAGCGCTTAACACACAGGCAAACTCGTCGTACTTTTTCTGGCTTTCCTGCAGCTCTTTGATTTGGGCATCCATGACGGTGAGCTGGGATTTCAGGCGATGGTTTTCGTCTACGCTTTCAGCAAGGATAGCAGGGACATGCTCACTCATGATCTTGGTAATCATAGGGGGAACCTCGGTTTCGATAAGGTCCGCCGCAGCAGAGTGCTGGCACACGTCGACCAAATCTCTTTGAATAGCTGGTACAAGCTTTCGCAGCAACGGGATTAACTTGGCGAATGACCACTGGTTGGCTGGAGTGCCATCGGGAAACAGGCTGAGGAACGACTCAACTTGAAATCCAGTCAGTTCAAGTTCCTCATGTTTAGCACTGGCTGATTCAGCCATGGTAGTCACATTTGGGTTCCCAAGAGCACAGGCAGCGCAATTTACAAATTATGAATTCACAAATTCACACTTTCATTCACATTTTGGTAAAGCAACTCTGACTGATGACAACTCTGACTTTTACATCAGTTGATGAATCCAAAGCAATAACATTGTGACTTCCTAAATGTGCTTTGATTGTTTCAGTTAATATCGGTATCAGATTGATAAGACTCAGATTTGGATTTTGAATTTTTGGAAATTCAAGGTCAGCATACAATTTCGCGGTATAAAATTCGGGTATAACTTCGTAAAAATTTCTATCACATAATTTCGTTGTGTTAATAAGGTTCCAAATATCTGATGCAGTACAAACAATGAAATGTCTAGCCCCAGATGTACATAACTCTTGCGCGAATATTCTATAATTATTTTTGCTTCCTGAAGTGCTGGAGTGCTGGAGCAAGTTTATAGAAGTACGACACTCTCATTGCTTATAACAACATTTTTCTGTTTTTCAACAGTAATAATAATAATTGCAATAATAAACAGAGATACTGTGGAGCGCAGTGCATACATTTACTAAGGATTACCGGAACAGTGTAAAGGTCATGATTACAGTACGTATTTTACTGTATTGATAATATATATTGAAGGATAGTACATGTCTAATAAATATTAACATCACTAAAGTCCAGCGTGTCGTAAATATTTGGTTCGGTTTCCACCGGAAAGTCTTTTCGCTTTACTGAATTAGACGTGTCTTCGTTTTGCATTGTTCACAAACGGATTGGTTTTTGTGAGTTTGGCCAAATTTTCTGCCATTCCTCTCATTTTCGAAGCACGAATGGCGTATGTAGAGTTGTATAATTTTTCGTATTCGGTTGGAATAAATCCTGCTTTAATCAAGATTTAGGAAAGAGAACTTGTAGGTTGGGTTTTGTAAAATACTAAAACTGATTTTCCCGATACAGCCAAATTCCGTTCTTCCGCTTTTCCAAAACCGGGCGTTTTCAGATCACTGACCATAGTTTTAAAATTAGCTTCTGTCAGCCTTAAAAACCGTTTTTTATCTCCATAAAATTCATTGTACATTCTTGCGGTAACAAATTTTCCAGGAATCATTAAAGCGCTGAATTCTGAACGTACGAGATTCCTGATCGACCTTGTTATTTCCTTCATCGTATAGTTTTGTACACCACTGAGCGCTTGTCGTGATGAATTTATGAGAGCGATGTGCTGTTTCTTCGGTAATAATTGGTGGTATAACGATATATCCGATTTTCGTGTATGAATCACAAGCGTTGTAAAATATATGTAGCAACACCGCGAATTTCTGCAGATTATTTTTCATTTTTGAGAGGAACACTGCAGAAACGTTCCCTGATATTCCGCCAGTTTCCAGTTCATTATTGTGCAGAATTTGCATTTTTTTAGATCTTTTGATAAGGATCGAATGACAGCGTAAGCTTCTGTACTGAATGTGTAGGTCTGCTCGTCTTCCATTTCTTCGTAGTATACTTACTCATACAGCGCATAAAGAATTTTCAAAAAATTATGGGCGTGAGGTGGCTGCGTTAGCTTAGCTTGGTCACTTTCGTCTATGTCTGCTACTTCGTCATCAACTGCAGTTATCAACCACCTGTCTTCAAATCCGTTCCCTGTTGACCAGGTTTTCAGTAAGTTACAAAAATCTTGAGGATGAATACATTGAATAGTGCCAAATATTGTTGATGCAGTTCGGTTTAGTTTCAACGACGTGGCTGTTTTGTATTTCAGTTTGATCGATTGACCTCCCCATATTTTATTCAGTGTATTGGGTGCATTTTCGTCGCTACTGTGGACGTTCTTCAATGTGCCAAAAATTTCGTCTACTAAAACCGAAGTGAATCCCTTGTTGTCCCGTAACTGATCACGATACGCTAAAATTACAAAAATAAACTGTGAAAGCTTAACGAAAGTAATGACCTTATGTCTGCTTGAACTGGTAAACACGCGCGTTGGCTGCGGGCACGGAATTTCTACAGGGGCGTTAGCAGCGTACACGCCCAAATAATTTTATCACATTTACTGTTTAGTTAATTTCTGAATTACAGAATTTCATCATTTTCCATGAATATTTTGGATACATTAAACTACTTAGAAAAGTACTCGTATTTTGAGATGCACGCTTCAGTACTTACAGTTAGTATCACTCTCTACATGATGGCATGAACATTATGTCACCCTCTTCTGTTGCTGGCAAGGTTGACAAAAGTCTTACGTCGAAACGTTTTTCTGAAATCTCTGGCTCATGTACAAATTGTAAATACATAATTTAGAAATGAATAAATTTGCTATGTACACACCCGCCCACCCGCATCTAGCCAGCACTGGTCCCTGAACTCCGTGTCCACAGGCAGCACCCATGCGGATCCAAAAAGGGCACCCGTGTGGCCGTGTACATATTCTACACCCACTTTTCCTGTACACGTAATGTGCAAATCTTCTAAATACCGGCAAAATTGACTGGATTATCATAGAAAGACTTTCTTTTTTTTCTCTCCAATATAGTCACAAATATTCAAACAAAATTCTTCGATGCATTAAGATTTACCACTCCCTGGTTTCGCAAAAACCAGAGCGTTAACTGCAGAACAATGTACCTTTCCGTATTCGGTTTCTTTTATCAAAACTTTATCACCACACAGTACTGCTGTTGCTCCCAAAATCGATAAAAAGATAGCACTTTCGTTAGAGCGTCTGGTCACTGCATAATACGTAATCGATTCAAGCAAGCTTCCATCGGTATAATCGGCAATATTATGCGAAATATTTTTTGTCGCAGTTCGATGAATACGCTCAGCAATTGTACCAGACACCGTGATAACCTGTCCGTTATTCCGCATTTTTCTACGAAATCCTGTATGGAAATGTCATGAAGTGATTATTATTTGAAAAGGAAATGGTTGGAGTGCTTATAAAATAAAAGAAAGCTGTGAGTTCTTGCTATGACCTTGAGTTTCCTGTAAATTCCGTACTGTCTCAGTACGTACCTACTGTTACCGATAAAAACGGCGAGAACATTTGTAATGGCGAATTTATTAATTTATTATGTTTTTACTCTCTTTATTTTTATA